TATCATCTATATTTCTGTTTGTCTGGAAGGGGGGGGGGGATTACCAATCCTGAATCATGAGAAATAATATACAGTGATCTTGAAACAACAAATTTACTATGAATCTTATATCAGTGATATGTGACTTAGGAGTCTTAAAGGCAAATAACAGTCTGTATACTGGGTGTGCGTTCACCTATTTGTTTACATTTGCAGTTACTGTACATCGGTTCACGATTTATGAAATTTGAACCAAAGCTGTAACATAATATTAGTCACGGCACAAGTCACTATATATACAGAGTTTTATTTGTATTGAGGAGGTAGGGCTTCTAAGAGAGATACAGAGGCTTGATGAATATGGTTACACTGAATTTTATCAGTAAGTAAATTTCATTTTTTACATCCTGAAACCAAAAATCAACATATTATGCATGAATTACATATATATCACTTTCACTTGTCACACAGTGAACATACCAAATTCAAACAACATTACACGTATATATATACACGTCAGAGGCTCTGGTACGGGAAGCAAAGGCCCTGGTAAACACTGGTCATGTGACTCTAAAAATATTGGACATTTGTAACCTGGCCTTTGTTTTAGATGTATTACATCGGCGGGGATGAACAACTGAACATTGCAATGTACGAACTATAAAAGTTTCAAATACAAACGATATAGGCTTGTTTTTATTTGATGGAAATTATAAACTTTGAAGTCACATGGGTTTTGAATTATGCTTTAAAGAATGCAGTATATTCGAGGTAAACGATTTTATGATGCATATATGAAATTATATTCTCATATCTTTTAATATTTATCAGTTTATATATCCTAAATTCCAGCAGATTCGTGGCTGTCTGTTTGTATAATTAGTTTTCTTCGTTTAATTACTCCTCCATTGCTTTTGGATATAAACCCTCCTTCATGCCTGATATATTTTTTGGTTATCTCCATCCTTCACTTAGTAATTCACTAAAATCAAAATTTTCTGTTCCAGCTTGCTCAGAAAATATTCAATCTTTCATAACTGGAGTTATCTTTGGCATGTAAAATCATAGGCAGTACCCTCAGTAAAATACTTATTTAACTGGCTGACCATTACAGTAGTCAAAAGTTAATAAATGAATACATGCAAAAATTACAAATTAACTGCCCTCATACCAATCCATTGGTCTCTGATTCATCCAATAAATACTTAACAGAATAGTACGATAATAATAGAAAAGTGTGAAAATGCCAACGTTACCTAACTTTGTGTGACAAGAAAGTTAGATTACATTAATTTTACAGTCAGGTGTTCTTTTCTTTATCGCCTCAATACTCTGGTTGATGATTCCAATGGCCCCCATAAAATTCCAATGGCCCCCATAAATTTCCAATGACCCCCATAAATTTTACTGGAGAAAATGTTTCCCCCACTTCTTGCCATTAAATCTCCATAGCCCCCAATTTTACCCATCCAATTAGGGAGAGTCTTGTGTGGTCACACTATAGTAATGGGAATATGAGATAATCAAATATGGCATACTTTGTTATTTTTCTCTGTCCAACACCAGACAATTTTACTTGTCAAGTGTAAGGTTAAGTGAGTAATAAAAAGTGGCTGGATACTCTAACTTTTGCTCCATATAATTGGACTTTGGTTGTGAGCAAAATGTAAAAAGACAATTACCAGTAATACTGACCTTACTATATCCCTATTATTTACCTTGCAACCTTGAGCAGTTGTGCTGTTACAGCAGAATGTGGTTTCAAAGACAGTTATTTTATGGCAATTATGATATTCCAGTGTGCCAGTAAGACATTTGTCGTTTGTTTCTCTTTTGGTATTATATCGAAAAGGTGATTGCAGGGTATTCAGATCCTGGAGTGATGTGAAATGGCCATGACCTTGGGCAATTTATAAGTAATATATGAGTGG